GGCCACCAGCTCCTCCACCTCCTGGTGGTTGTCCGCGTGCACCGAGACGAGCCGCGCCCTGCGGTCCATGGCCGGACACAGCGTGCTGGGGCCCATCCAGGTGGCCGTCACGGCCGGCAGCAGGTAGCACCTGCTGCCGCGGCGACTCCAGCCGGGCGGACACGCGGCGTCCGCGGTCTCTGCCGCCGCCAGACGGTCCTGCAGGGCGGTCAGCTGGTTCTGGAGACGCTCTATGCCACTTCTGATGGCCCGCTGCTCGGCGGAATAGCTCGGGTCGCTCCGGACGTCGGCCGTCATGTTACGGACTATGTCGCCGAGACTTAGATCCCCGTAACTGAGAGCTGGTGAGAGCGCCAGTAGAACGACGCTGAACAAAACTGTCTGAGGCGGCATGGCGCACTAAAGTCAGAACAGAAATCCGCACTCAAGAAGACAACGGTCCTGGATGGCCAGTGAACGACAAAAGGGTCCTTTATACGGCTACTCTAATAACGAATCAGACTTTGGACCGTTCGGTTACCAACAAACCAGCTCGCGGTTTTGCCGGGTCCAAGGACTCCCTCGCCTGGTGATGTTAGATTGGAAACCAGCTCCATGGGTGTGGCTTATAAACGATATTTCCCAGATGTTCAGTAAGATAATCCTAATTTGTGTACAACTTCCTCCGACTTGCAGGGCAGCCTGTGAGTGTTTGCATATCGCATGTATAGTAGGTATGCTATTGCAGCTGCTAAAACGACAAAAGAAACGGAGGTTGACAGGTGTGGTTCTTTTTGGATGTTATTCAGCATAGTCAAGAACACGTCACCGTCTTTGGCCATGGTCATCCCATATGAATAGCCTTGCAATTTTATTTCCTTTCTGTCAGTTCTCTCTCTCTCTCTCTCTCTCTCTCTCTCTCTCTCTCTCTCTCTCTCTCTCTCTCTCTCTCTCTCTCTCTCTCTCTCTCTCTCTCTCTCTCTCTCTCTCTCTCTCTCTCTCTCTCTCTCTCTCTCTCTCTCTCTCTCTCTCTCTCTCTCTCTCTCTCTCTCTCTCTCTCTCTCTCTCTCTCTCTCTCTCTCTCTCTCTCTCTCTCTCTCTCTCTCTCCTGATATAGGATATGTTTTGAAAACATGGTTTTGTTGTATAAAAAATGCCCAATGATGTCGATTTCTTTACCCGGAGCACGAGTGCCCTTTTGCCAAGGACGGCGGCCACCCAAACGTACGCTTGTGCTTGTCTGACATCGATAGACACTGAAACCAAAGCCATTTGTAATAGCATCCGTGGCCTGTGTAGTATTTTGCTTACATTGGAATAGATAGGCGCTGACGTCAACGCGGGCTTCTGGACACGGGTAGTGCTGTGGTTAATGTCGGGCTTTGGAGGCCGTATCTGGGTATCAACAGATACGAAGCTTCTTTTTGTTTCTTAATTTAGTATTGTTTCTTAAGCACATTCTCTAGACCAAGAAGTGTGTGTTTATTAGGCTTGTCAATGAATGCCTACCTTATAACCACTGGCGGATCCAGAAAGGCGGTCTTGGACGCTGCGGGGGTGGGCATACCCCCAAAGTTTATCCTAATCCCAAAAACTTATCGGATTTCCATTCCTTGCGCACCGTTGTGCAGGTAAAAGCAAACTCTTCCTCATAAAAGTTGTTTTGTTTTCGTTTTATCCTCGAAAAAAAATAAGCAATTTCTCGTCGATTTCGGGCTCTGCGGAGGAGGGGACATAAATGTGGACAAAAATCTGTGGTTAGCGTTTGGTATGCGTTGGAACTTTGATTTTTTTTTTGTTTCGCAAAGAAATTCACTCAAACTGACTTTAAAACGTAATTGATTGATTGTGAATTGTCTGAGTAAAATAGAATGAACTTACCAGGGTGGGCACTCAGGGTTGATACGATTTATGTGAACACGAGAATGAAAAAAATTGATGCAGCATCGGCATTATTATATTACTTGGAATATCTCGGCGGAAGAGTGCAGGGGTCTAATGCTTCTCTTACAGGACACCTTTTGAAGGAAGGTTGAGCAATGAACATCCAAATGGACATTGGACAGTGCCTGATTGCACTGATTGCTTAGTAGACCATAAACTTTTTATGTACCTGGAGCTATCAAAATGTTAGCCCAAATTTCATGGACATCTATAAACAATAAGGTTGCTCAATGGCGGATTGCTAACGGGTTTTCGCTCAACATTCCACTCCAGTTGCGGCATCCGGCCTCCAGTGCCGTCCAGTGTTCATTTTTCACAGAACTGCTGGCGGCCGCTGAACGGCAGACCACCCCACAACGCTGACGACTGGTGACGGTCAGAGTATGTTTTCGTTACCCGGCAACGTGGCCAGCAACTGGCCGGACATTTCCGCTGGAAATATCCGCTGGGTAACTCCCTCACTGGCACGTCTGGTCGGGGATAGCCGCTGGCAGGTCCTAGAATAGTCACACGCCGCTTGTGTCGAACGAAGGATTTTCCATGTTGTGCTTGCTCACTGCACTGTGGCGTATTTGGCTGGAAACTCTGGGCTGTCGGGAATTCCGTTGGAGTACATTTCTGCAACCATGGCGATGAAATATACAAATCGGCATGCAGTATAGACGATTGCACTTAATAATGCAGGCGTTCTCGTCGCTTGTAAGAACATGTTCCATATCACCAAAATAACTGTAGCTTCAAAAACGGCCTTGAATGTTAACCGTATCGTTATAGTGGGGTAAATGTAGAAAACGTGCTGATTTTGTTTGATGTTGCAGATTTGTAATAGAGTAAAGTATCTCATCGCTATGCTTTCATAACACGAAATGTAGGCACCGCGTAGCAATGGAGCGTCGTTGACACTCCGGACTTCCTCTCGTCTTTCCATAACATTCGGAATAACAGGAGTATATCTTATTTGTCTATATTTGTTCGCTCAGTGTTTGCCACCACCTAGATAAGTTCTAGTATAAACACCCAGATAAACCTCAGTATCTCAGGAACATTCTCAGTGGCGTCGAACTCTGACCAGAAGAACCTGCTCATTCCGCTTTTCGACGGCGACCAAAACAAACTAGTAGTTTCGAGTGGTATATTGGTACTATGACCGGCATTCCTCGGCGATATGGGAGGCGCCAGCGACGGTGGGCGGCGAGCGATGACCACGTCTGTGTTTACCTTCTTCAGCGCCCCTCCTCTCCGTCCCCGCCCCTCCGAGACAGGCATAACATTCCCAGCGCCCCGCCCCCACCCCGGGCCCCGCCCCGTCCCACCGCCGTCGGTCGACGGCCGCGTACCCAGCGGGCCGCCCGCCCGGCACCGGGTCACGAGAGCCAACTTCATGGCCAAGAAAATCGATACGGCTTGGCGTCGGCCGACGTCCCCCCACCCTGTGCCTTCCCCGGCACGTCGAAGACGACCCGCATGATGCAACGGCTTGGGGCTGGCCGCACCACGAGCGTTTGTCCGCGTACCCGCTGCCAGACGGAGCTGCTGAGGCGCTCCGTCAAACACAGACCAGTCGCTAAGCGTGCCAAATGTACTTACATACCAGACCAGCGCGAAATCTGATGAAACAGGCTCGGAACTTATTTGGTGCTGGCTTCGGTGGGAAGGAAATAAGAGTTAATTCGTATTTGATGTAAGATAAAAACACCAAAACCACCCAACGTTTCGTGTTATTCACTTTTTCAAGGGTGATATGACACATTTTACCTACAGAGTCAAGTACGTTTTTTTCGGTTTCGTTCGAATATAGCGCGGGCACTTTTTCACAAATTTCCTCTGCCTTGCATGACATATTGACATATACATACACACATACTACAAATTAACGTCTTTCCTAGCCAACAGAGCGTCAAATTAGCGTCTTTCCAATTCAAACAATCAACGAAATAAGAGTTAATTGTAAATGCAGAGCGTAGAGGCTGATAAGCTATCCCTACGCAGAGCATAGAGACTGTTAAGATATCTCTACAGTCTACTGTTACTGGACAACGTCGCCGAGTGTAATTTTGATGACTAATGCTCCTTTAAATATGCAAAAAAGTGATCACAGGATCAGCGGCATTGTCTTGATATGTGGGAAGCTGCAGCGTAGGTCTCGGTGAACCGAATTGAGGGTACGCACTACGTATTTGCATCGCAAGCCTGTCTAAATGCTTTATATCATTTAGGACTTACCGTCTGGAGCCTGGTTTCCTCAATCCTCATTACTGTCCTGTCCGGGCTTTCTTATCAACAGCAGAACAGATTGGCGTGAAGCAAATGCAGTTTCCAGAAAGGGAGCCGAGAACTAATGGGCATCTTAAAATTGATTACCGTCACTTCAGTCTTCATCGGCACCGCTCAATCTTGCGATGCCGTTTCGCATTTCAAAATTGTAATTCCTAAGCGAATGATTATCACTTTGCTTCTGAAATGGCTTCGCTCTGGAGCCTCATTGTGGTGTTTATTGGAGAAAAAATGGTGCTTTATGTCGATGTTTCAGTATTATGATGGTAGAAAATGACCTTATGCTCCTTAGTCCTTATGACCTTATGCTCAAAATGACCTAGCCATAGCTCACCTCCATCGATGTTTCAGAATAAAAGAAAAGAAACTCATCGAATGCATTAGCATATATTATGCATAATTATTGCACACTTTAAACATGTAGCACGATCTTATGACAGATGGGTAACACCCTCACAAGTCACAATACCTCGCAAGGATTTGACACACAAATATTGTGGTCACTTATTTTAACTGAGCATTGTACTCGGTCACATAGCACATCATCGGGTATGACAACTTGAACCCGTTTGAAACACACTACCAGTACAGTCCGTTCGGAACACATATTCTACTCTAATCAAAACATGTTTATTAACACAAAGGTGACATAGATATCCCGCTTGGAACCGCTTACAACTTAACCTACATGTTTCACAGCCTTCACGATTTGAGCCTGACCTGACTCTGCCCTCAAGTCATCGTATAGTTACCACAAGGTCTCCCACAAGTCCACCCACCCGCAGCCCGCCGGCGAGGTCCTCTCAGCTGCGCCGCGCGCCGTCCTTCTCTCCGCGGTGTACCACGCGCATCAGCTTGTCCACCACCTTGGTGTGGAAGTTGTGCTTCTCGGCGGGCCGTCCGGCGCCTTTCTGCGAGCTCGGCGGGCTGGGCGGGCCGAAGGTGACGCTGCGCTGGCCCGGGTGGCTGGCCTTCCTGCCGGAGGTGCCCGGCGCGCCGCGGCTGTCGCTGTACTGCAGACTGAAGCCGGGTGCCGTGGAAGCGCTGGCGCTGCTCGAGGCTGATGTCTGCCGGCTGAGGCCACTGGCGTGCGACGGGCGCCGGCTCTGAGGCGCGCTGCGGGTCTGCGGCTGCTGCGAGCCCCGCCGGCTGCCCTTGGCCGAGCCGGGACCGTACAGGTTCCAGTCGTTCTGCAGCACGGGTACCATGAACGCCATGGCGAGTCGGTATGTGACCGGCACCGGTATCGGTTATCGATGGGCGCAGGCGCGAGCCGGCGACTGGGGGGCCGAAGCTTCCAGCAGCAACAAGAAGAGCCAAGTCTTCTGTCCGTGCGACTTCTGAGACTCAGTCAGACGAGGCAGCTTGCTCGAAGACAAGTTCTCAAGCGATGAAGAAACACGTGCGTGCCAGCGTGGTGGTCAGTTTCTGATCCCTCCGCCTCACGAGCTCAACGATTTCTGGCGAGCGGCGGCGGCGCGCCCACTATAGGATCGATCCCAGAGTTGGCAAGTTGCCAGCCCCCTCGCCGCCGGAGCGCTGATTGGTTGTCAGTGGAGAAGTCCCACGGAGAGGACCAATGAGTGGCCGCGGAACAGGGGCCCGACCGGGCGGGCCCGGCGGCACCCGGCGAACGTAGACCGTAAACACAACGTGCTGCCACCGTCTATTGATCCTTCCTGCAAGGTGTTGTGGCTTGGCCAGCCACGCCGGATACTACGCCGCACAATGTCAAGGTCAGAGTAGGGCGCCGTCGCTCTCCAGGGAATGGGAGAGAAAACAGAAGGACGGCCCAACCGTCTGCCTCAGCGCTCCTGAAATGCGGCGGATAGAGTGCACATGCTCTCAGCTCTAGTCATCCGCCGCTTTGAGGATATTTATAGAACCGAGAGGGCACAACATTACTGGGATTCAGCTCCTCCTTCTCTCTACACTTCTTTCACTTCTTTTTTAGCATTGACAATGACGACTGGATGGGACAGAGACTGTTTGAAGACTGAAGTCGGTAGTTTGCATACAGTTTCCACATTTGCGCACCTTTTGTGAAAAGGAGCACTTTTGAGGGTGACACTGACACGTCCGACAGGATGGGTGAGCCTTGAGACAGGTTTGCTACCAGGTTGTCCCCGGGGACGATTTTACTCAATGCCCAATTCCCATTTCCCACACTCTAACAACAAATGACCTCAGCAATGTGTCTCTAGATTAGCAATTGGTAATGTAACATCGCTAACGCTCTTATTTCATTTTTCGCTCATCAAGTTCCACCGTCAATGTTTCCAATTAAAGGGACTATCCCACATGGGGTTTGAGTTGAGATAGCCAAGTTTGCGGCGAGGTTCAGAAACCACTATCTATCTAGGTTGCAACCCCCGCGGCCTCTTGGTGTTGAAGAAATTCGTTCCCTTCATTTGAAAATGGGCCTTGTACAAGGCCCTATCTTCAACATGGAGCGACCGTTAGTGTGACGTCACCTCGTTTAGTCATTCTGATTTAAATGGGTTTGTTCGTTGAAAAATCGCTTAAAACTTGGTCTGAACTTTGTTGTGGTGCCTACAGAGTAAAAAGAATCAGCTTTATGACAGTAATGTGGCCTGGGGAAGGAGGTAATTCTGGGCTGTGACGTCACATATTTGAAAGTTTGTGTTTGGAATATGGGAAGCCTAAGATGTTTAATGAAAAATAAATGCCAGAACCGTGTTCCTGGTCATCCAATCTATAAAGTCGGGCACAATTTAACTGGTTTTAACAACATTTTAGAAGGTGGGATAGTCCCTTTAATCAGACATTGCTTCACTCTACAGAATTCCTCTTCGAAATCCAATTGAATTATAATAAGTGCTTTTAGTTAGATTAACGATTGATCGAATGACATCACTATTTCTCTTTGCTCATCGAGGTCCACCCTCCAAATAATATTTTCCCAATTAATTTGATCCTGCCGGCTGCCCCACTTTTTACAAAAAAAAAAGAGATCCAAGCCCAAAGCTACATAACACAAATATACCTATGCAGCATGCAATATGCATGCAAGTAATGACTCAAATGATTAACCAAATAACGTTAAAAAGCTATTGATTACTACGGCCGTCTTAGCTCCTTCTAGTTGCAATCATTTAAGTCATTTTCAAGAATGTTCAGAAGCTCTTTTACTTCTAGCAGATATGACCTGAATTGATATAAACAAAGTCCGCAAGCCTTTGTGACGCCAAGCGACTCTCCTTCAGTTGCAGTGTTTCTTGTTGCTATTTGACTCGGTACGTAGTGGAGTTTCGTAGGGGAAGTGTGACGGAAGCCACATTTTTTTTCGAATCACAGCTTACAGGAATTGACAGAATCATAAGGCATGCATATTAGTGTGAGACTAAAAGCCAAACACGCAAAAGTGAAGTCATCTGAGAAGAACGGCGCTTCAATTCCCGACACCTTCATGGATAACGCGGGTCAACAGGGCGCAGGCGGCAGATGGCCTACCCCACCTGGACCCGACGTAGCGCCGACCCCTCTTATCGGTCGCACGCCAATTGGGTGGCCACGCCAAAACGGGCTACACCTGGCACTGCAGAGGTGTAAACACTGCCGCCTCCCCGCCCGCATCTACAGGAAAAGCTCATAACGGAACTTTATCTCTCCAAAGCGCAATCGGCCGGCATCCTGTGCGCCAACCCTCTGCACCTGCGCCTGGGATATCGCCACCGGCACTGCCTCGACATAGTGGATCGACACCGGTGTGAGCATGTCAAACAAGAAACAGCTGACGCAGGGACCCCTCGGGCCGTATCATGCCGCAAGTGCCGCAAATAGAAGGCGTCAAGCCATCAAAATTACACTCACGCCGACGAAGTTATCAGTCGCCGACAGACGCTAACCAAAAGTCCCAGTCACCCTCCCTGCGGAATCGGAGGTGCAAACATGTACGTCCAGAAGAGCAGATGTTCCGTGCCGAGAGTGGGACACGCCAATGCCCATATCTGGCATTCACCTGACGAGCAGCGACGCCGACGGTCGGGGACTTGTGATACTGGACGGCAGCTGGGACAAATGAGCGTCCAGCAAACAGAGTAATAACTGACGAATTCGCTAATATCACAAGCGTTCGGCCAAAACAGGAACAGCTGGGAAGTTCAATGACCATGGCGGACCATACATATGAACCAATACCCGAGATATCGTGATTACAACCAAACCAAGCAATAAAGCGCCGACGCCGGACAGGGTACCTCAGCTTCCCAGCAGAACAAAGGTGTGCACGACAGATGGCAAGAAGATAGCAAAAGTGATAAGCACTGCACCCGGCCCAATTACAACCAGCTGGAAGAAAGTCAATAACCAGGACCGATGCCACTCATGAGTCATCATACAGATAAAGATACTAGGCCTATCACGCCACACCGACGAATATCTAGCCATGCTTATCACACCTGGAACACCAACGCGATAGTAATCTGGGTATAAAGGAACGAGGCAGTCATGGAGGAGGTACCGAGGAGTGCACAGGGCACCGGAGTGCACGGAGCATCTAGTCCGACCGAGGAGTGCACAGGACACCGGAGTGCACGGAGCATCGAGTCTGACTGGGCGGAGCGCAGAGGACACGGCAGTGCACGGAGGAGGGAGTACGACGGGAGGAGCGCGACGGGCGGCAGCTGGCGAGGGAAGATCCAGTACGACAGTGATCGAGAGCTGGATCGAGGAAAGTGCACGCTCTCAGCCATCGACAACGGACAAACTGCTATCATCATCGACCTCTCGGTGACCGGCTTGGTCAACAACGCCGTTCAAGTAAGAATTGCCACAGAAAGGAAGTCTGCTCAATCCTTGCCAACATGCAATCATTCAGCTCCCGTCCCTCATATATTCACTCCGTGATTTGCACCAACCGGCTGATGGTTCAGAGCTACCCTTCTCGGGCTGAGCGTAAGGGTTAGGCACATAGCGACAACACCATGTAAGCTTCTTTTTTTTGGGGGGGGGGGGGAGACGAAGCGTGAAGGTGTTAAGATTTAGAATGGGTTGATTGGGTAAATTTATTGGGTGGCTCGATAAGACTCGGGGACTCAGTTTTCAATTGAATCGCTGTCGAATCATTGCGTCAGGGCTGGTCGGAAATGGCGAATTACGTTGTGCGATGGGAAGGTTTGCTGCGCGGGTGTGTAGATTTGGGTAACAGATAGCGCGATGTTATTTTTGTTTTGGAACAAAATCGAAGCGATGGTGCGTCTGGTAAATCATGAGGTCTGCGCTTGAATTTGGTTTATTTTACTCCGAGGTGTATTGCGTGAATAAAACCCTGAAAGTTTAGCGGCATGCGTGTAAGAAGGATCAGGAGTGATGCCAAGGGCGATAAGGGCGACATTTACCTAACGGGCGTGAATACCTAGCCAAAACTGAGCGCGTACGGGGAAACATCGATATGGACCACCTCTTGACAATTTGTCTTATACTCCGATCTCTCTCGCTCTCTCTCTCTCTCTCTCTCTCTCTCCTCTCTCTCTCTCTCTCTCTCTCTCTCTCTCTCTCTCTCTCTCTCTCTCTCTCTCTCTCTCTCTCTCTCTCTCTCTCTCCTCTCCCTCTCTCTCTATCTCCCACTCTCTCTCCCACTCTCACTCCCTCTCCTCTCTCTCTCTCTCTCTCTCTCTCTCTCTCTCTCTCCTCTCTCTCTCTCTCTCTCTCTCTCTCTCTCTCCCTCTCTAGATTGTATTCACTATCTTGCCCCCAACGATTGTGCCATATATCGACGCGACTAGCCAAAACCATACTACAACACAGTAAGTCAGAGACCTAGACAATTCAACTAGCCGGAGAGAGGCTGGTTCGAGCCAGGCCCCTGTGCCTGTTTTGACTCTGCTGACGCCGTCGATCACTGCGAGATGGGAAATGAGTATTCCGTGACTCGATGAATTCTACTGCGTATTCCCGTGAAGTATAGCATAGGCACCGAGCGGCTAGCCGTCCGTGTCGACCGGACTTTGAAGGGCTAGGGCTAATGTGTAAGAGTGTAAGAGCGATAAACGAGGGCAAGGTTGCCGAGTTATAATGTCGCGGAGTGGCTCCGCCGAGGTGTTCAGAAGAAACACAGAGTTATGGTTTCGCGGAGTGGCTCCGCCGAGAGTATAAACATTTAGGAACTTATCCCTCAACTGAAGCACAACCGGACCACCCACAACACCGAGTCGACAGACCGGCAGAGGTGCGTACAACCGTTGTTTCCTTTGAG